GCGCGGCTGCATTCTGGACGAGTTGAAGTCTCCGAATACTCTTCAAAGGCTGCCCCATGTAGAGCGAATAAAATACATTCATCAAGAATAAAAAGATACAGTACTTAGTGATAGTCAAGGTTATGAATAAGCTATCAAATTGTACTAGTAAATAAATAAAACAATATAAATTGAAAGATACAAGCAACATAGATATAATCATAAGTGTGAAGAGATAGATACTAGGAAGGAAGAGAAGAATAATAGTAATACAATCTTAGTAAATTATTGGACAGTGTCGTGGGAATTAGTTGTTAAGCAGAGTGATGGCATTCGGGGAAAAAAACTGTGCTTGTGTCTAGTCTTGGTGTGCAGTGCCCTATAGCATCGTTTTGAAGGTAACAATTTATGTCCAGAATGTGAGGGGTCTGTAGATATTTTCACAGCCCTCTTTTTGACTCGTGCAGTGTACAGGTCCTCAGTGGAAGACAGTTTGGTAACAAATGTTTTTTTTTTCTGCAGATCTAATTATCCATTGAAGTTTGGGTCTGTCTTGTTGGGTTGCAGAGCCAAAGCAGACAGTTATGGAGGTGCAGATGACAGATTCAATAATTCCTCTGTAGAACTGAATCAGCAGCTCCTTGGGAAGTTTGAGCTTCCTGAGTTGGCACAGAAAGAACATTCTTTATTGTGCTTTTTAATGACTTTTTGATGTTTGGTTTCCATTTTAAGCCTTGAGACATGATAGAACCTAGAAATTTGAAGGTCTCTACTGTTGATACTGTGTTGTCTAGTGTTGTAAGAGGTGGTAGTATAGGAGGTTTACTTCTAAAATCCACTACCAGTTCTACGGCTTTGAGTGTATTTAATTCAAGATTGTTGCACCACAAGACTAGTTGTTCAACCTCCCATCTGTATGTAGATTTGTTGTATCTGTACAAACAGCACATGAAGCAAGTCTTGGTAGTTAATGTTCCTTTAATCTGAGATTTCATGCTCCTCCGTGACTATTCATCAGTATGAATTGGACAGAGCTGAGAGAATGCCAGGCTCTGCACTGTCAGATCAAATATTTTAGACTCTCGCTGTTCACGAGAAAGGGCAAAAACGTGGGTGAGCTTCCTAGCCAAGCTCCACTGATGTTTCACTGATGCAAGAGCTGCAGTATCCTGGAGCTCTCCAAGGTCCTGGAAGGTTTTCCCGACTGTTATAGATGAGATACAGATTATAGATGACTGTAGAAAAGGCGAAATAGAATTATGGGGAAATACGCGTAAAGCAGGATATTGGTGACTGATTTGAGCATCTTGATCAATATGTGGACCCCTGTTGGGAAAAGGCTGCAGCTTCAAATTAGAATAATTATAATAGTATATAGGGCTAGAAGGGAATTTGGAGGTCTTCTAAGCCAACCTCCTGCCTAAGGGAGGAGTCCTTAAACCATTCTGGACAAATGATTGTCCAATCTTTCTTTAAAATCACCAGCAATGAGTCACCCACAACTCCAGAAGCTTTATGTGTTGCCGCAATTTGTCAGAAGTGTAGCACGCAGAGCCATTTCTCTGGGCATCACCTTTTGCTCTTCTGGAGTTCTGGTGTGCCGGCCAGGTGGTCTTCATTCACATGGGAGTACCAGAAACAGAAAGAGCAGCTGCCTGGTGTGCATGCACGCACCGGGCAGGTGCTCTTCTGGTTTCTGGCGCTCACACGCGCACTGGCCACCTGATCTTCCAGTTGCTGGCACGGATGTGTGCATGAAGACCAGGTGCCCAGTGTGCATTCATGTGCAGGAAACCAGAAGAGCAGCTGCCCAGTGCACACATGAACTGCTCTTTCAGTTTCCGGCATGTACTCAGTGCCATAAAGATTCACCAACATGGGCCTAGTGCATTACATCTTTCTTTTTCTTACGCTTTCCCTCTCCTTCATTCTCCCCCTCCTTTCTTGAGGTATTGGTCTATGTCATAGGGATGGAAAGAAGGATTGAATCTCCACACAACACATCTATCTATATGGGCATGAGGTTGCATGATTATAAATTATGAAGATAATTAGGTCTGTTCACTTCTGGTTTCTACTTTTAAAATAACCTTAATTACAATTCATTTCACTGCAAGGTAAATGTAACCGTAAATGAGTTCTTGTCTGGGACAGAATTAAAACTATGCTATTCTTTCTTTCACCCAGCTCTAAAAAAAAAAGGAGAAAAGTTATTTTTAACTTAGTGTTTGCATTATTTATGGCCTTGTTAATTTGTGATTTCCATTTATGGCCCACATTTGAGGGATTCATTAATATTTTAATACATATATCACCACTAAATTTGAGATTAACATCGCAGAAGCAAAAGTTATTTTTTACCCTTTCTGGACTTCACGACTACAACAATAAGGAAACAAGATATTATAAAAAGAAAGATGATTGTCACACAAAGATATTACTACAATTTAGTAGATGGGGAAGAAATGGAGGTAGTGACAGATTTTATTTTCCTGGGCTCCAAGATCACTGCAGAAGGAGACTACAGCCAAGAAATTAAAAGACGTTTGCTTCTGGGCAGGAAAGCGATGGCAAATCTAGACAGCATACTAAAAAGCAGAGGCATCACCGTGCCAACAAAAGTGCATATAGTCAAGGCTATGGTTTTCCAGTTACAATGGATGGCTGTGAAAGTTGGACCATAAGAAAGGCTGATTGCCAAAGAATGCAGGCCTTTGAACTACGATTTATTTATTTATTTATTTGCATTTGTAGGCCGCCCTTTTCCCTGAGGGGACGATGCAGGAGAAGGCTCCTGCGAGTCCCTTGGACTGCAAGGCGATCCAACTGGTCAGTCCTAGAGGAGTTCAACCCTGACTGCTCTTTAGAAAGCCAGTTCCTGAAGAGGAAACTCAAATACTTTGGTCACCTAATGAGAAGGAAGGACTCACTGGAGAAGAGCCTGATGCTGGGAATGATGGAGGGCAAAAGAAGAAGGGGACAACAGAGAATGAGGTGGCTGGATGAAATCACAGAAGCAGTCGGCGTGAGCTTAAATTGACTCCAGAGGATGGTAGAGGACAGGAAGGCCTGGAGGAACATTGTCCATGGAGTTGCGATGGGTCAGACATGACTTTGCAACTAACAACAACAATTTAGTGCTTTTACAGCTAGCATCTGATCTCCAAAATTGCAGCTGAAATAACCTTTTGTCTAAAAGTTTCAATTTAACCTCTTCTCTTGCTTTTGGTTAAACAAACATCTCTTTTTCACACTCCCTGCCCCTTTCAAAAAGGTGGTTGACATGTTTTGAATGCATCTGGGGTAGGAAAGGAGATAGCCTCCCATCTATAGAGAGTCTTCAATCATTCATGTCATGGTTGTCCTAAAGGTGCTTTCCCCAAAGCCAACGGGACTTTCTTGATTTTTTCCCCTTGAAAATGTTTCGCTTCTCATCCAAGACGCTTCTTCAAAACTTCAGAACTGATGACACTTCTGGGATGAAAAGCGAAATGTTTTCAAGGGAAAAAAAACCCAAGGAGGTCCAGTTGCTTTTGGGAAAAGCCTGTTTGGGAGATGGTCTCCTATTTTTTGTCTATAATGTTGATGCCAAAGATTTATCTAGAAAGCAAATTCTTGGGATGAGGAGGAACATTTGCAATTATCTCTTGTTTCATGTTTAAGAATGGTAAAATCAAGGCCTTGTCTTGTTAACAGATTAACAGAGTTGGAAGGGATCTTATAGGTCATCTAGTCCAACCCCCCCACTCAAGCAGGAGACCCTACACCATTTCTGACAAATGGCAATCCAATCTCTTCTTTAAAGTCTCAAGTGATGAAGCTTCCACAACTTCCGAAGGCAACTTCTGTTCCATGGGTTGAATGTTCTCACTGTCAGAAAGTTCCTCCTTGTTTCCAGGTTGAATCTCTCCTTGGTCAGTTTCCATCCATTATTCCGTGTCTGGCCTTCAGGTGCTTTGGAAAATAGCTTGACCCCCCCTCCTCTCTGTGGCAGCCTCTCAAATATTGGAAGACTGCTATCTTGTCTCCCCTGGTCCTTCTCTTCACTAGACTAGCCATGCCCAGTTCCTGCAAGTGTTCCTCGTATGTTTTAGCTTCCAGTCCCCTCATCATCCTGGTTGCTCTTCTCTGCATTCTTTCTAGTGTCTCAGCATCTTTTTTATAGTGTGGTGACCAAAACTGGATGCAGTACTCTAGGTGTGGCCTTACTAGGGCTTTATAGAGTGGTATTAGTACCTCCCTTGATCTTGATTGTATCCCTCTGTTAATGCAATTCGGGATTGCATTGGCTTTTTTGGCTGCCACTGCACACTGCTGGCTTCTATTTAGCTGGTTGTCATCAAAATGTACATCTGATAATATTTTTTGTGCCAGTTTTAGACTTTTCAATTATGTACCTCAAAGGCACCTTTCCATCGACAAAATGAATGAAAGAGTATTGCCTCTGGGTATGTTGGCCATTCTGCTTCTTCTGCTTTAGAGTCCTTTGGTGCTTCTTCAAATTTAAACTTGAATGGCAGGAACTCAGGGGTTAGGAGTTATTAGAGATATGCTGCCTCTGCACTTATGAAATATGCACACCACCAATACACAGAAAAACACCAAGGGCCCCTGTGTAATTTCAATATTTAATACAGGTTGGAGTGTGTGTATGTGTGTGAATGTGATACGCACACACCCAGACCCACATATTTCAATTCACCGTTGGGAAGATTCCATTTTAGCTCATAATTTTTCATTTATTACCTCCTCTTTCTCATAAACACCGCTGTGTGTGTATTTAGATCTTTGTGGCTGATTTTGAGCAGGAAGCAGGAGCAAGTAAGTTTTTGATTTATTAGGAAATATTACAGACTAGATTATGAGGACCAGAATTCTGTCAGTGAAATCAATTTTGATTTAAGCTTCTCTTTAAACACCC